CAGTAATAATCCAAAGAAATCAATGTTTCTCACAGTGCAACGGTGTCCAACTTAGAGATTTCAGTGGCCCTTCCATGCACAGCAGACCGTGGGAGTCTCCGCTCTGTCTTCAGGTGGCTTTAATTGAGCTCTTTTTCTCTGAACTAGCATAGCCCAAATCTATGAACCTCATCCTAAAGGCTCATTTCCCTCTTCAGACTCTTTCTGGGTCTGGTTGAGGTGACGGGGTATTGTTCACATGGATCACCGCGTATTTATTAACTTTTATAGAGATCACTGGGGACTCCTTTGATGTCAACTCATCCCCTGCGAGCCAAAGCAGGTCAGGCACAGAACTCCTTTTGCCTTTGATTTTAAACCAAATATGAAGAGCTGGCCTGACTACAGAGTAGGGCAACATATGCATCGTTAAGTGCTCTGGAGCTAATTCTCCCTAATAACAAATCGAGGTATAGCCAGTCACCTCGCTGACATAACAAGGAGCACATGGCAATGTACACGTGAGTTCTCCGGGCACCCGTTTTATTCCAGTCCTTGTCCAGGAGAGAGGGAATTCATGAGGAGCCTGTGAATTACTACTGCTTATGGTACAGGCTATTTCTAGCACTTAATCCTGCATTTCTTATAGATACAACACAAGAGCTTGGGGGATCAAGGACTCTACGAGGGAGTGTAATTTCAATTGACTAGAGCAGCTGGAACCCAAAGCAATATTTGTTGGAAGAGCCTTGAGGGAGCACAGGAGAGAAACTTTGGGATAAAGAAGAAAAGCAAAGTGGTGAAGGTGATTATTCAGCCCATTTTTGAATTAACTTATGCTTCAGTACAATCTTCACTCACAACATGGTGGTCAGAGCGTGCTGACTGCTCCATAAGGGCTCAGCAAGAACCCTGATACATGACTTGTACAAGGGTGAGAATGAAATGCAGCCTGCTTGCCCATAAATAGATTTGAGGGGGTTTGTTTATGTTTTGTTCTGAAACTGCTTTGTACTCCAGCCTGGAATAACTCGTTTCTCCCACATTTCTCCTTCTTGGCTGGCTCAGATGTGCAGCCACCAGCTGTTTGCTAGGATTGTTCCTTCTCCTTGCTCCCTCCCCTCCAAATTCTTCAGGACATTATTTTCTTGAAGCTTTTCTCAATAAGAATTTAATCAAACAAAACAAAAACACAGCAACCCGCCGCTTTTTGGACAGTGTTTGATGTGTAAATATGTAAAGAAGGAGTGTTTTGAAAATGCAGTCAGCTCCCTCCTGGGGACTTGAGTCCTACAATGAGCCAAGGTGACTCCACAAGGGAGATATGTGCTCCTGCAAGATTAAATTCCAGCTGCAGTGGGAGCACGGGTGACCAGAGGCAGAGCTAAGCCACTTCTTAAAGAGACATTTTTTGAATAGCAGCATGATTCTCCTCCAGACCAGGCAGCATGCTCCTTCCTGCATATTGTCAACTGGGTCCTCGCCTCGGGCCGGCATTGCTATCAGTTCCCACCCTGCTGCTCTGCAACTATTTGCCCGTTTCTCTCCTTCTTACTTCTGTGGAGCCGAGACTATTGATATCTCTGCACTCCACAGATACTCATCAGTTTTACGGCCATATCAAGCTTTCGGAGAAAATAGCTCTTAATATTTTACTAATTACCATGGAGTGAAATACCTTCCACATGCAGTGTACACTTTATGTCAGAACTACTGTGATTGCTACCAATTCAGTACGGGGGAGGTGACCCCAAGGAAAGCCTGCAGCAGGTCTTCCAGCAGGTCAGGCAATGCACTGCATATAAGCTCCTGCCCTGCAGGGCTCAAGCAGATGGGTTCTTATCCTGTTCTCATCCTGCTTAAAGAGTTCTATTCAGCAGCCATTATTACTGAATACAATAAACTGCAAAAATTAATATAGTGTAATTTGATGAATGAGTCCTGCTGCCATTTATACTTCCTTTGTGAACAACAATTCACAACACCGTTAACTTTAAAATTCCTCCACACCTAGTTCAAATTCACAGTTGAGGGGTTTGTCACAGCATGCTGACTGCCAGTTTTACTATCTGTGATGCTCAGGAACATTAGCAATGTATTATTTTGAAGACACTCACAGGAGAGGGGGCTGTATGCTTACTTATTTCTTCAATGCAGTGTCCCCTTGCAGCAAAAGTAAACATATTCAAATCACATTTGTCTTCTCATTCAAAAGTCTATTTAAATAATTTTCCATCTTCTATTTAATAGTATAGATCAGAACTCACTCACTTTCACAGATGGGGCTCTGAAATTTAGAAGACTGGCCCTGGCTTTTGGGGAGCAATGCTGTTACTCAGAAAGAAATGTTACTGCTCTGTAATAGGGAGCTGGTGCATGGTTATGTACTCAGCATGAGGCTTATCGGGTGCTGAATTGCTGCAGGGTCCACATCTTAGACATGATACAAATCTGATGCTCCTACCACTGTGTTCGCTTGCAAGCCCAAGAGGATTTTTCCATCAAGTCTGCTAATTCCTGTGTTCAAATTCCAGCTTCAGTAATTGCAGATTGCCTATGGTTCTAAGCAGAGACATTAATCACCCCTTCCAGCTCAGAGGTGGTTGTGTTTCAGTGGTGGGCAAGGTAATCCCTTCATAAAATGGCTAGAAAGTGTGTTTTGCTTTCTTTCTCCGTGTGTAAGTGTCTACTGAAACTCCAAGCAATTTAATCTATTCAGGTGCGATACCAGGGTATCAGTCGTGATGACTGGAGATAAAGTGTCAAGTTATTTGTTGGGGAATTAAGGGAATGATTCCAATCTGCTTCAGTTTGGAGCTTCGGAATTTTTTGGGGAAGTAAAGCAAATGATGCCCAGATCTGAAAATGCAGTCCCTTTACTCTAACTGAAAGCACAAGAAAAAAGGCAGTTTGATGCTGTTGGATAAATTTCAAGAGCAAAATTTGCCTTTTTTAGTCTCTACCCACATACATCATCATGATGACCCTCTCCCTGGGCTGAGTGCTTCACATACTGCATGTCAAGTTAGTGGTGCAGAGAAGAGCCTGGCAAAGCTGAGATTTCCTAGGTGCTTTGTGCAAGTCCTGTCCACAGTCAAGGCAAATATCTTCATTGTTTGCAGCCTTTAGCTTAAAGCCAGTGGCAGGCTCTGGCAGATATTTTCCTTTGCCTGCTCTCGTTTCTGGCATGACTTTCTTTTTCCAGAAAACGCACGCTTGCTGTTCATTTTTCCTGTGCTTCACCATGCTACACCTTCTCCAGTCAGTAACATTCCTGCAGCTGCTGGACTTTGCAGACTCTTGAGAAATGTTGGGTTTGCAATTAAATAATTATTTGTGATTGAAGTCTTTGTTGGGCCAATCTCTCAGAAAGGCTAACAATGAGCACCATGCTAGGCATGCACTGTGTGAGAGACGGAATACCACATACTTGTACATACAGTAAAGATGAAAGGCTTCTACTGCAGTTAAGAGCATGGGATGGTTTAATCCTGAAATAGCATCTTGCTGATACAAACAAGGTCTGTTTGTTTTTTATATGCCTATTTGGGGAATGGCTGCTCTTCAAGTAAACATTCTCTTTTGCATGCAAACACCGATATTTACCTTGACAAGATAGTTTATTATCATTCTTAATTTTCTCTTCCTTTGAATGTTTCTGTTCTCTTAACAAGACGGCACAACCATTGTATGGATAAACAATCTAGAGTGAACAAATTACTGCAGCTTAACACATTCCTTCTCATCAGCTGAGCTGCAGTACCTGACCATAAGCACGTTCTTAGCTCTCTCCACTCCTAAATCACACATTAGTTTATGTATCATTTAAGGCAGTTTAAGCTACAGTAGCTTATTTAGCATTTTTAATAGGCCAAATGTGCCTAAGTGACAAGTTCTCTGTTTGCTAGCCATTATTCCTTTCTGAAAGGTGAAAGGTGAAATGAGAAAAACACAAATGCTGGAAGTTACATGGCGCAACAGTACATAAGCATACAAAACAGGACAACAGAATATTTTCAGGTGTAAAGAGGGTAAGGGGAAAAGAATTCACCACAGAAAAGAAAGCAAACCTATCTCAATAACTTTATCTCACTGCCTGAGTGAACCTTGGGAAATACAAAGGGAAGCAGAACTAAGTTTTGCTGAACTCCTACTCGGCGTCATGATTCAATTGCTGTTGCCAAATTCAATGGATTAAAAGAGGCAGTGGATGTGCAAAGAGACAACGTGGCTCTGTCTTCCATTATCCCACCAAGGGAGATTAATAAATGTGATTCCAATATCTATTTTCCCTCTATGTCAAGTGAACCTGCTCCAGTGCACACCACCATTTACTTCAGTTTTCTCCAGATTCCCCTGAAAATGAACCTGTCTCTCAAGTGCTCCCAGCAGATAAATGACAATACATAAAATACAGACTGAGAAAGTCTTTTGTAGCAGGATGATGGAGAGACACAAAAGACAGGGTAGCTTATCTAGTTCCTTCCGTCAGCCCTATTGGGACTTTTCCTGTCCCACAGATGTTCTCCAGTGCTTTGCCCCAGCTAGGTTTTAATCTCAAGGGATAAAACTTCCATCACTTCTCTTGGGAAACTGTGCCCCTAGCTCTAAGACCTCACTACTAGATGTGCTCCCAAACTGCTATTAAAATTTACATCACGTTAAGTTTGTTCACTTTCAAGCCATTTCTGCTTCCCTCTGCGGAGACACTGTCTCAACACAAAGGCGCTGCAGACTGTTTCTGAGATGCAACATCTCAGTGAGAAGGGACTTTAGATGACCTAGTTTCAGACTAAGTCCTCATACCAGCTCTCCATCTGTTGCTTCAATTTAACATGTGGTGAAATGAGGTGAACCTTCAGTGGTTCCTAAGTAAGGTGGTAATCTATGCACAGCGCTGTATCAGCTCATATCAGCTAAACATGGGGAAATGTCACCCATTCGTCCTGACTCGTAAAGTGGGGTCACACAAAGAATGAGAAAGAGCCCAGTAGAAGTCATTAGAAACATCAAGTCCTTACCTCTCACTACCAGCTGCATGGTGAGGTTCTTGTACAGGCCATATTCTGCATTGCTCAAGACGATGGTATAGTTTCCAGCATGCTTTGGTCTCACATCTCTTATGCCCAGTCTGTACTTCATTGGATCCGGGTCATAGCAGGTGTGGTTATCCTTGATCAGTTTGCCGTCTTTGTACCTGTTTTGAAAGTACCATCAAAGCTTATCATGTGCATGCATGCATGTTAGCTCTCAGAAAACCAAACTGTTACCCAAATTAGGGTGGGTAAAGACTCATCCTTCGGAAACAGCAAGGGAAACACAGATCTATAATCACTGCTTGAATTGGACATCTATTCCTTTCATCCTTCCACACTAAAACTGAGTAGCATCTGCAGTGCTTGAGATGTCAACAAACAGGAAAAATACATTTTAATGAATCTGAATGAACAGTGCCTCTCGCATGCTCAACTCCAATCAGAAATGTACATCTAGATGCCCCCAGATTATGCTGGATGTGCACAATACTAAGTGCAAGAAGTCGTGGGTTAGTCAAAATTTATGTCATCAGTTTTAAAACAAGATATTAATTAAACACAATTGTCTTTCAGTACTTATATATGACCCTGTACTCTTTCTGAAAAAGCTAAAGTCTGTGACCTGGGGAATTTGCAGTCAATAGGAAGGTCAGTGAAGAATTCACAGTCTGGAATCCTCACTAGCTGAGAGTAGGATAGCAGAGTCTGCATGAGCAGCCTCCTCCTCACTGCTACTCCAATATGCAGATTTGGGTTATGATTATGAAATAGGCCAGACTTCACCACACACAGAGCTTTAGGCTAGGTGGAAGGAGAAGCTGGGTCATGCGTCCTACTGCCTGAGAATGCTGGAAACCTCCTTTACAGTCGTTTAAACAACTGTACTGAGAGACCTCCAACATCAACAGCTGTAGCTTCGAACAGGCAGGGCTGCAGCTCTGGTGGTCCCAGGCAGCTACCAAGCAGCTCCACACTGAGCCCCGAGAACAAAGCCTTGGCAGAGAAAAGGGGGACGGTCCCCACTTCAACTCACAAAAACATTTCCATCTCCTAAATAACAGCAACAATTAAAAATACCTCTTGGCAGCACTGATTTCACTGATTTGACCGAATATTAGACCATTTCATGTTATTTCACTGTGGAGAAAATGCAGCAAGCCCGTTCCTGACCAACACCTTTCGCTGACTGCCAGCCCCCCCTGCGTGGCACTCAGCTGGCCAAGGAAAAGCGCATTGTGCAGGTGCCAGCTCACCCAAGCCACCTTCTCTGCCAGGACAGGCAAACCCACGGCTGCTGTTGCACAGGATTTCATAGAGTTAAGGATGTATAAAGTGTTGGATGGGGTTGTTAAAAACCCCCTGTAGAATGTAGCATAGAAAAAATAGCAAGAGAGAGGACAAGCGATGAAAGAGTAAAGAGAGAAGTGGACATCTCCAGGAGTTGCTGACATGTTGCTCCTTCTAGTAAGCTGATCCATTACAGCTCCAGTGGAGCTTTTAGTTTGCTTGGGAGGATTCACTGCTTTATCTATAAGGATCTGTTGCTGGTGGTACATCATTGGAGAAAATTATTGAAAAGTTATGAAGAGAAACAATTTCTCATGTCGAGAATGTGTCCTGCAGACTTCTATTTTGCACTTCCTCCTTGCAGACTGACCACCACTAACGGTAGTAAACTGGCAAGTCTTCCCCAATAGCTTTCTACTTAAATATTCCAAACCGTTCTGTGTCCAGGGTAAATGGAACCCCCATTTTTTCCTGCAGGACCTTTTCTGCATGACTAGGAGAGAAAAATAGCATGGGAAAGATGTATGGCTTGCCCAGCTTCACGGAGCGCATGTCAGCACAGAAAGGATTCACATCTCCTTAGCTGAACTGTGAGAGCAGAGCTCTGAGCATTCCCAGCTCCCATCTTTTTTTTTTTATCTGTGTGGTAAGGAATGGTGAAAACCTATTCTAGGCAGGAGCCCAAAAGAAGGGCACATATGCCTGATTTTGCTCAAGGTGATGGTACTCACCAAGTGACGCTTGGACGAGGAAAGGCGTCCACCTTCGCAGCTAGTTTCAGTGACTTGTGTCCTGATATAATCTCATAGTAAGACCCTTTCTTATGCGAAACCTTAATGAAAGGTTTGTCTGGAAAGAGAAATGAACAGGAAGATAAGTAATGGCAGATCTGCCACAGTACGGTGCCCACATCTTTGAATTGCATTGTGTTTGCCCTGGATTTTCTACAATATCGATCTGCAGAAGCTGCAGACAACCAAATGGAATGACAAGCTGTTCCCACAGTTGCCCTGCAAAGCTCAGCCACCGCCAGGAAGGTCTATCTCCAAATGAAGGACTTTATATTGAAAGCAGAGGATATGCATCTGCGTTGCCCCTGGAGCAGTGTGTGAAAATGCCTGGGGTATCTCTCGTCCATGTGAATGCCAGATTTTCCAGGCTAACAGCAACACTTAGCGCCAGCTTTTTCAAAACAGTTCAGCTCCCAGTTGATCCATGTCCTCCGACATGTCTTAGCCTCGAACTCTCTAAAGTTTCTTTGAAAACATAGTGCTGGGTGCTGACTCTCTCATAGATTGATTAGAGGTCGTAGATGATTAATGGTTGTTTTAACTACTTGACATTCTTCCTAATGCCATCTGCATATCAACAGATGTAATAATGTGGCATTATCCTTTAAGCTTAACAATCTTGTTTATTGGGTATTCTGGTTTAGCTACAGAACTCACCATACACTGTAACTGTGACATTGGCCTCCAGCCTTGTTACGTTGAATGTTTTGCATACATACAGGCCTCCGTCCTGCATGGTGACATTTTCAATTTTCAGGCTACTGCCAACTTTATACACCGTGTCACTCTGGTCTATTGTTCTTTTAGGATAAGGGTGCTGGAAATCAGAAAAAAAAGGGGTCAAAAAGCAGCATAAACTGGATTATTTTGTTCATCCTTTCAAAGTCTGCCAGTAAAGAAACGCAGTGATTCATATCAAAATTATCATATCTCCCTGTCACTGAAATAAATAATATAAAAGACAAATCAGCAGGAAAAGCTCTTGTGTGAGGTTTCATTATCAAGTCTAATAAGAGAGAGAAGCAGAGTGGAACTGTGGTGCTTCTCTACTGAAATCTGGGCAGGCAGGTAAATCAGGGGATGCATCACAGATCAGCCCTTCTCAGGGACCAAATCCCAGGGATCTCAGTGCAAAACTGCTGTCGGCATCTGTAGGATCAGAGTTGTGCTTTGGGTTTTGGTTTGGTTTTTTTTTTTGTTGTTGTTGTTGGTCACAGTCAATGTTTTTCTGTCTTGAAAAACTCTTACTTTCTAAAAGAAATATATTATCATAGAAATATAATATATTATGATAGCCAAGTGCCAATGCAAATTCCTGAGGAGTTTTAGAAAGTATTATTGCTTCTGATAGGATTTTTGATTCCAGAGATTTGGCCAAGACATTTTGCATTTATGATGTTAGAAATCTAAGGAGGGTTCATAGAAAAACAGCTGTCTTCCATCATATGGGGTTCAAGAAACAAAATTCTGTAACACCATATTGCTTGCACTTCTATAAATTCTGTGTTATATTTTCCGTAGTTTCTTCACCAAAACAAAATCAGATGTTCTTTCTTTAAGGAATCAAAATAAGTAAAAAATAACCAATTTTTATGAATCACATTTTACACTTTTCCAAGAGGCATAGATGCTTCTTTGAAATGTATATTTTGCTGAATTAAAAAGAAAAAAAAGCAATCATTTTAATTCTGAGCATCAAATAGAACCATGAGTAGTATCTCAAATAAATGAACTGATTTGGAAAATACCCCTTCTTCCCTCCGTTTTTCCTGAGAACTGAAAAGTTTTTGTACATCAAAGAAAATGCTCAGTCTCTTACATGTTTCTACTTCAAATCTGGCATTTCTGTATTACATTCCACAGAAAGCTCAAGAACCTACACTCAGAATTTAAATTTTATTCTTTGGTGGGGATTTCAGCAGATACAATTGGCTTTTGTTTCACTTTTTCCTACTTAACAAATGCCAAGCTGGATGAGCAGGTTGACAAATTGCAACCTTCATGGCTGCCTTTGAGACTTGCCACTGTGAGCCAGGATCAGCAACCAGGCCAGAAGAAATGAGACAGCTATTCTTCCCAACAAGAAACATACTGTCCTGGCTTTTCTTACAAACATACATTTAGCCTGAGATTTGCAGTTTAATTTGCAGGTTCAGGATGGTCAGATAAGTTTTAGGTTCATCCAAACTAAAAATATGATCAATCGTAGGCTTACAAATGGTTGGCTGTATTTCAGAGTAAGTTGTAGTTAGGGTTTACTCAGTCCTGTGAACAGATCTTTCTTTTGGGTAGGGGGAGGCTGCATGAAAGCAGAATACTGAATTTGCATCAACTCACTCTCCCATTAGGGCATGTCCATATGAGCTCAATGCGCCCGTTGATGAAGGTTTCTGCTCTGCATTCCAAATAGAGAGTTTCTCCAACCAGCAGTTTTTTGGGAGTTGCCTTCAGAGACAGGTTCTGTGCTCTGACCTCTGAAATGAAAAAAAAGCGAAGGTATAACCACGCAGCACTCTTTACATCAGTGACATTTAGGCTGGAATCCACCTCTCCAATATCCGCTTCTTTCACCCTTTCCAAAACAAACGCCTCACCTTCTTCTGTCATTTCTATGGAAATTGTTGGAAATTCCCACACAATGGAAACATTAGGTCAGTTGTATAAATGCCCAAACATCAGCTGATCAATCTAACTGATTGCATGTCGACACAGTAATTTATGAATTGCTTTTTTTGCATTTGACGTGTTTGGCTCCAGCCCTCGCTCATCAGCTCCACAGCCATTCTCAGAAAAACTTTTCAAAAGTGACTCATCCTCTTGTGTGCCTCAACATTTGCATATCTTCAAGAGGATTCGTTTCTGTAAAACATGAAACATGTTTCTCCTGCCCTCTGATGACCAGCTACTTTTCTTTTCTGAATGGGATCCCCAAATCCTGGTCTTATATATTTATTGATGCCTTAAAACTCAGAAAGAAGCCTGCATCACGTTTATGGTGCCCCATGCCAAACACACATCTGACCACTGTACAGAAACACATCATAGAGTAGGGTATTGCCTTCGTCTTTTGGGCCAGAGAGGGATGACCTAATGGGTTTTTCAGCCTCGCGTTCATGATTCAGTAAAAAATAATTACACCAACATTGAAGAAAAAGAGAGAGAGATTTACAGGACTTTTATTTGGCTGCCATACAAATTTACAACCCTGTTGTTTAAAGCTGAGTGCTAATTGTATAGAAGGATGCCATGATCTAATGGGAATGAAGTCACAATAAACTCTCCTCTGTCAAAAATATATGAGGAGACAAAGAACATACACTGAAAACAAAGGAAAAATAAAATCTAATTGGCTTCATATAAATCCCCAGCACTCAAAAATGTAATGTTTAGTTGCTTCAAATTCAGATTTTAATTCTGAGCTGAAGCTCAACTGTAAATACAAGGGAAAGAGTATAGTAAATCACCAAGAGAAACTATATAAAAAAGCAAAGATTTGAATTAGCGGTTTATTGAGATTTGTATACCAAGATCTTGTGTGTTTAATGACCAGAAGCAAAAAGAAAGCTACTGTTTGGTTTATCCTAAACCAGCAGTTGTTTTAATGTAAATACAGCTCAATCCAAGCAAACAAAGCCTTGGGGGAGTTTGAAGAAAATACTCCTATTTTGTACCACCTCAACACTTGGTAATTTTTCAAAATCAGGAGTGGATCAAATCCAAGTTCTATTCAACAGGAAAAAAGGGGAAGAATGAATTTGCTTTTAGCGTTCCAGCTTGGACTTGCTACAGATACATACCAATTAGATATATCAAATATAATTGAGGCTAACCAAGAAATAATACCCAGAGGCTTAGCTATGAAATAGAAACATTGTGGTCATTCCTTGGCACACAGCAGTCACTCACCCAATCTCTGTGTTAGGTAATAGGAGGTGAACACACTCCCGTTGACATTTACGGTGCATGTGAGTACTCCAGAGTAAACAAAAGCATGACAGGGGATGATAAATCCTCTTCTTGGGTCCCACACCATCCTCTCGAAGTTCATCTCTACAGACTGAGGATACTGAAAGAGAACAGACAGAAAGGAGGCTTGTGAGATAGGCCCTTTCCCCTCAGACCGTAGAGGCAACCAGCCAAGGCGGTTCTGCTTTAGAGGCAGGGTAGATATTTGACCTTTCAGAGTGACTGGTGGTCTCATTCCACACATATCTTAAGCAACATCAACATAAGCAAATAGAAAAGCGCTCCCTAAGGAATGACTGTCTTTGAAATCCAAAACTTGGACATCATAACTGGGGCTTTTGATGCAGTAGCCCCAGTCCTCTCAGATCTTAGGCAAGATATCATGCCACCCAGTGTAGGTCCTATTTCTCTCATCTCTTTACTGGAAATAATTATGCCTGTCTTATATGAATTTTGTAGGGTTATCTTGTTGGAAGTGTTTAAGAGCAAAATTTGCTTCTCCTAATGCTACACGTAGCTACCACATGTTTTCCAGAGATTTCACAGAACTTTAAAAATATGTATGAAGTTAGTCTCCAAAAAATCAGAATTATTCATGTCAGTAACTCACCTGATAGCAGTCATCTATAAGCTATGGTCTATGGCTAGACATCAGATTCTCTCTATATTACAGAAAGGGATGAGACACTTCCAAAGCAGACTATTGATTTCCACTAAGCACGAAAGCATCTTGGATGACTTAAGATAGTAAATCATAGGATGGCAGAAATAAGGGGACTCAGTAACATAGACATTTTTTGTCCTAAATTCATAAATGTAATGTTTTGAGATTCTTGAAGAAACAGTATCTATAAGTCATGTTTATGAGGAAAAAGTGAGGATATGAAAGGCAAATGTGAAAAATAAACTAGAACAAAAATTCATTTAATAAGAATGAACCCTCTGTATACCCTTGGACAGCACCAATGTCAAGCAGGTTAGCTTTTGTTGGTGGGAATAATTAGTTTATTATTATTATTGTTATCACAAAGGGAAATCCTCTATTTGCCAGAGAAAATGCAATTTACTTTCCAATCATTTTGGAAATCCTGGATAATAATGTAGAAAAGCAAGACGTGAAATTAAATGCAAACAAATAGCTCAGGAGTCTGTAAAAGAGCAGATGCCTGAAAGTCACCCGTTTCAGCCCGTTTGCAGGCAGGTGAATGGGGGCCCAGGCTGCAGGTCTGACTCTTCCAGCAAGACACAGGAAGGCTCTTTAGGACAGAGGATGTGCTGCAGGAGTTTTGAGGTCACTTTTGGCTGAAAAATGAAGGGTTTGGGGAAACCTCAGTGTGCCTGCAGTTGCCATATGATAACTAACTTTATTTCCACAATGCTTCTCCCTCCTTCTTATCAGATACTGGCTTCTCAAAGATGAGGCAAGTTAATGTTTTTCTTTTCAGAGCTATCCTGTTTTAGCTTTTGGATCTAACCAAGGGAAGAGCTACACTAGAGACTGCAAGTGGGAACTTCCCCAATAGTTTTGCTCTTATTCTTGTTGTTATGCAGCATGCAATTTATTTTTCTATCTCCAAACAAACAGTAGTCTTGTATGGCAGTGTGGTTCAAATAAGATTCAGTTTAAATAATACTCCTGTTCCAAAGAAATTTCAGCTTCGGGCTTTGAGAGCTGATGCTCACACCTCTCATACGAATACACAATTCATCAGGTTGGCATCGGTTTAGGTCGCTTGTTATTACATTTTTCGGCACAGACCAAAGACAAGGGAATTATGACTGTGGGGCAGTGACTGGTGATGTTACTGTGGGGAAGGAGGCATAGCAAGACAGTTGCTTTCTTTTGGAACAGCAGTTCTCTTCTGACAGTAGTAGGAAACATGGATTTCATGTAGATACTTTAGAAGTAATCAAGCCGTGGCATCTCTGTTCACAACCATTAGGAAAATTCAGGAAAATTACAGAAGGAGATCTGAGACCTGAAAGGCTTCATGCTTCAGCACCCATGAAGGTCAAAGCTGAAAATGGCAAACACACACTGAACCACATCAGTGACATGACTGAAAATGTTTTTTTTTTTGCCCAGAATTAAAATCATATTAAGCAAAATTAGAAGTTTGAATTGTGTGTCTTAGCATGGGTTTATTAATAACAAAGATGATATGTAGAGTTAGCTGGGATCTGTTTAGTATTAGCAAGAGGTACCTTTCTCCATACATATTTAAAGGCCAGAGAGTGCAATGATTTTAAAGTATAATGGTAACATAAGGAACTTAATTTACAGTGGAAAAAAGTACATTTTCTACAAGAATAATAAAATGTGATAAAGCTGAACTTCATGGTTTGGCAGCTCTGCTCCCTGATGGCCAGGGGAAGGGGAAAGAAAAAATAACCCTACTCAGGAGGCCCTTTTCAACACCACACACATATTAAACATCTTCATAAAATATTCAAAAATATATATTTAAACAATCAAACCAAAAGCGTCAATGCTGCTTGAAGGAAATCACAGTGGCTTTCCTCCCTTTGAAGTTCGTTGTCTATTGGAGATTAAATTTGGAAGAAGAGGATGTTCTAAATTTGTCCGATCGCCTTATTCACCTCTCCTCCCCCATCCTTACCTCCACCCCTCTCCCGCCCGCTTCCTCTTCGCACGGGAAGCCGCCACCTCGGCTCCGCACGGCGCTCTCAAATTCCCAGACAGGGCAAAACAAGCGGTGACTTTCCGTAGATGGAGCCCGGGGCTGGTGGCTCCCGAAGCCAACACACGCCTCCCAAAGCGCATCCCCTCGAGCAGCAACATCTCTCCAGCTCCCGGCCTCAGAGGGGTTCCTCTGGGGAGCCGCGCTCAACGTCTACATCCCTGCCCCGCAGTCCAGCTGCTCTCCCTTGAAGGGGAAAAATCTTTTGGGGGGGATAATTTTCTTTGCAATTCACAAGGGAGATTTCAGCGGAGACTGCATCCCAGCAGCAGCTTGCAGCAAGGCAAAGGACTGCAGTTTGTGTTTGAAGAAATTACCGGGAGAAAATTTATCTGGCAAGCAGGGAGAGCAGGGCTGCCTATAAATAAGGGGATAAATGTGGAGCTTTGCTCAGTCGAGGTTCCAAGGCCACATTTAGGCTCATGTGACTGTGCCGAAGTCATCAGCAGTACTCCAGCAATGAATTTGGTTGAAGTAGGCTAAAATAAGATGCGATGTTTCATTTTTATAGCCAAGGAGGAGAAGGCGATAACACTTATCCAGGCTAAAGTGATAAGCTATGACTGGAGAGGAGACTTATTCCCCTGCTTTTAATCCCTGCTGACAAAACTTAAAAATAGAGATCTGCTAAAGCAATAAGGCCAGTGCTGTCCCTCTGCACGTCCACTGGAAATTTGCCATTGGTCTCAGCAGGAGCCGGGGCGCTGTCTCAGGCCTCCGTGATTTCATGTCCTGTCTCCCAGGAGGAGGAGGCATCTAACAACTGAGACATCTAACAGCTAAGAGGAGCAGAGCTCCTCAGACCCCTCTCCCAGCACAGCATCAGCCTATCTGCGTCTGCTTTGCTATCACACTGGGTCCAGCAGAACACCCTCATCTCTCACAGCCCCTCCAGAAGAGGCTGTGGAAAAGGGGCCGAGGCAGAGGATGAGCTCTTGTCCCCATCAGGACAGCTCAAGCAGGCAGCCTAGCAGGGGAGTGGAAAGGCACATAACCTATTAGGTAAAAGGCAGGATAGGATCTGGGAGACCTGTGTTCTGTTCCTCACCCTGTGATAAGCTTCTTTATAGAGCAATTCGAAAACCCTTTATGTGAGTGACTAGATCGCCATCGACTGAGGAGACCCCAGACCTTAAATTTCCATTTTTATTATACAAAATGGCCTTGGCCTCCACAGGCGGTCCTGTAACCTTGACATTCAGATGTAACTGCTGCCAAAGGGATGGATGCTGTGGCTATTTATTCCCAAGGCTGAAACTTGTTTTAAATTTATGAAACCAAGGAAAAATGGGCAACTGTTCTGAGGAGGTTCAAGGTATAAAAGTGATAAGCTTTCAAGAAGATAGCTAATAGCCAGGTGTTATACAAAGAATTTTGAAGAAAAATAGGCCTTGTCATCTATATTTGCCAATTTATGGAGGAACATCAAGCCACAAGATGAGAAAAATACGTGATAAACTCAGCCTAATCCCCAAAACACCCTGGTACACAGTTCAATAGTAATACACTGCCAGAGGAGGACTGTGCTTCTGGATATTCAGTATCTTTGCTATTTTTTTCCTGAAACTTACCTAGCTTTGGACATTTTACTTTGTATTTTTCCTCATTCTGTTGGCAGCCCAGACCTATGAATTAATTGAGTTTCTCTGAAACAGTCACTTACCTGGGTAAGCTTAGGTTTGATATCTGGCAAGGTAACTCGGCAAGGGATAACAACCGTTCTGTTAGCATCTAAAATGTAGATTATTTCGGGATGTTCCGGGTGAATCTCCACAAATGGATTTCTGTAGTCTGCAGGGAAAATAACATTGATTTGCAAAACTGCTTCTTTACTGATCAGTGACCAGAAGGGCACTGTAATCTGAGCAGCTAACTGCCCATAGAAGGTTCACTGTAGCGTGTGACAAGACATCCAGTCACATCTTGCTTGTTTGCAAATGCCGGTGTCATCTAGGGATTATAGCCATGACCAAGAATCAGAATACCCCATTTCTAACCCTATTTTACCAGTTTGAAGAGTAATCTTGTTAAAACTCCTTTTCTTATCTATTCTCCATCTGTGAAAATGAAGTTAAATCAGCTCCACAGGTCTCCATGGCACTGGAGTTAGTTCTTTCCCCAGTGCTCTGAATTTCTTTCAAGGGTGATACTACACCTCAGCACTCCTGAATTCCACAGCAGTTAAGTGTTACAAAAGGTTTACAGCAGTTAAGGTAAATCTACTGAAAGAAAAAAGCTTCTTTCTGTAAATGAGATTCTCTAGAACAGTGCAGAAAACATGAAAAAGGGAATGTAGACCCACGATATTCAAAGCCAGGCATGAATAGTCTGTTTAACCTGAAAGTGAAGTAAATTGGTCACACTTTTGGGGAACTGTGGGATTTTCTATACATCTGCCACAATAAATCAGACTGGATATACATATACAAGAGAAATAAACTAAAAATTTGAGGTAGTTTAAGTCAATAAAGCTTCTGAGTCTCATTCAGTGATTTTTCTTTGTATGAATACAGTGATGGCCATCAGAAGATTAAAATAACATTTGTGAAGTCCTAAAACTTTCAAGATTTTTCTGAAAAGTATTCTTTGACTTCATATTCTTATGGTATAAAGTTTCAAATACCATTCAGCTAATGCAATACCAACTACACCACACAGTGTAGGCAGTAAACCACGTTTGGTTTGGATTATACTGTTGACAGGAAAGGATGTGCATAACCTCAACCTGCTTATCCTTGGCATGGGATCTGCCTCCACACACTTAACTATATTTTGGAAATGGCTTCACCTAAAGCATGGGAAATAGCTGACAGGAAAGGTTTGCGAACAATGTAGCTTGCAAAATTGTGCTCTACAGTATTCCGATGATATTTTTAAAAACGATGTAGTATGAGGACATAAAAATGAGTTTTCAAAAGAATGCTGACTATTCCAAAATGGGTTAAATTAGTAACGAATGCATTCAGCTGGGGCTGACATATCCATCACTATGGATCAGTAGGAGGCCTTCAACAATGGCCAAACACTTTATGGCTTTGGAAAAGGGAAACACCTATAGTGTAGGCAACCAGTTCTCTGATTTTGTATAATGAGAAAAAGTGTCCTTCTTGATGAAGATCATTACAGTACTTCCTGAACTAGCCTTCTATCCTCATGTCATGTTTCCTTTCTAATTTCTGATGTAAATTTTTTATAGAGAAGAAAATCAATTACTTCTTGCTTGGTGGATCTAACCCCACTGTTCCTTCAGAAATTGCCCAGAACGGCACATCTCTGTGAAAATACATGAAAAACTCCACACCCTACCAAATCAAGACAGCAAGGCTACTTCTAGCTCTTGGGGAGCCCTCCTGCTCTCCGCAGCCCAGAGGCCAGCAGCAGAGCTGGGCGGGCCGAGCCGAGCCGGGGGTGGCCTGCGAGCCGCCGCCGTTCAGCCGCGCTGTGCTGGACAGTTCCCCGGCGGGGCCGCGCCCCCCCCCGTCCCGTACTGCCCCCAGCGCTCTTGGTCGTCTGTGCCGGTGACACGGACAGTGGGACTGAGCACACCCTCAGCAAATTCACCCAGGACCCCGAGCTGTGTGGTGGGGGACACGCTGAGGGCGGGGATGGCATCCCGAGGGACCTGGGCAGGCTGGAGAGGGGGGGCCGGGCAAACCTCCTGGGGTTCAGCAAGGCCAAGGGCAAGGTCCTGCCCGTGGGTCGGGGCAAACCCCAGCACAAACCCAGGCTGGGCCCTCGAGGAGCGGCTGGAGAGCAGCCCCAAGGAGAGGGGCTGGGGGGGTTGGTGGGGGGAAAATGACCGTGAGCCAGCCCCGTGCGCCCGCAGCCCAGAACCCACCCGTGCCCTGGGCTGCAGCCAGAGCAGGGGGGCAGCAGGGCCAGGGAGGGGATTCTCCCCCTCTGCTCTGGGGAGCCCCCCCTGCAGTGCTGGGGCCAGCTCGGGGGCCCCCAACAGCAGGACACGGAGCTGCTCGAGCGGGGCCAGAGGAGGCCACGGAGATGCTGGGGGGGCTGGAGCAGCTCCCCTGGGGGGCCGGGCTGAGAGAGTTGGGGGGGTTCAGCCTGGAGAAGAGAAGGCTCCGGGGAGCCCTTCGAGCGGCCTCCCAGGGCTAAAGGGGGGACAGGAGAGGTGGGGAGGGACTCTGGATCAGGGGGTGGGGATGGGACGAGGGGTGATGGTTTTAAACTGACAGAGGGGAGATTTAGGTGAGATGTAAGGCAGAAATTGTTCCCTGTGCGGGGGGTGAGGCGCTGGCCCAGGGTGCCCAGAGCAGCTGTGGCTGCCCCCTCCCTGGAAGGGTTCAAGGCCAAGTTGGACGGGGCTGGGAGCCCCCTGGGCTGGGGGAAGGGGGCCCTGCCCGGGGCAGGTAGATGATCTTTAAAGTCCCTTCCAACCCAAATGATTCCATGATTCTGTGATCTGCACCTCTGCCAGGGTAAAAGCTGCCACGGCAGCAGCCAGCACCTTTCCTGTCTTACAGCCCCTCTGTTTAGCATGTGTTGGTCTGACTCTGCAGCACAGGGTGAGTATCTCCAGTAAAGGCTGCGTATACCCTCATCTGTGATCAGATGCCTCAAAGCCACAGGCTGTGTTTAAGAGCCTGAAGGGTGTGATCATCTTGGTTTAGCATCAATGTGTCAGGCCAGCTGGCCCCGATCCCTTCACCTACGCTCTCATTTTACATCTAAGGCTGTTGTGTCAGCTGCTCTGTGACTGAAGAAAGCTCCAGTTGAAGTGTGTTGGAATAACACTATCTATTCATCCCATTAATCCTTGCATTACTGTATCAGGCTGCTCTCCCTCCTTCATCTCTGGAAAAAATTGGGAATGTTCTAAAATCTTCATGAAAAGATGGTAAAATATTTCTCTAACTTTTTTAGTTAGTGCGGAAAAAAATCCTGTACATGGTTTTAGAAATACAAAGTATCCCTTTCTGGCTGTTGGCCATTTTGCCTACTCTTAACAAAGAGTCTAAAACTGTGAAACCCTCCAGAATTTCTCCTTTCCCACTACATAATCCCTGGCAAACAGTCTTTTGATTCGAATCAGTGGGAATCCATTTTTCAGTTTAAAATAAATGTTCAGCCTTGGGACCCTAGCAGGGAGTTGTGTATTCCATGCTGGAGGATCTGTAATTAGACAGTAGCTGAAGTGCTTATTTATGTTGAATTTTTCTGGGTAACAAGTGTTCTACATGTAAGTGATGTAACTATGCTTATTGGTGACCTGAACAATAGTTTGAACATGAAGCATGAGATTTGGATTTGCTATTCCACAGCTCCACTGACAAAGGAAAACACGGAGTTGGTTTATCTCACTCACTGTCTTTATTTCCCCATGACTGGTAACTCATCTGAGAACAGGTCATTCATCTCAGGCTATCAGTGCTCCTTTTCTGGCTAATGACAACTGCCTGCTTAAGGAATGTAATGGAAATACATAAGTGCTGCCACTTGGAATTACTCTTCAAAAAATTAGCTCAGTGCAGAGCAGGAGTTCCTTTGCTCCGCAACCCAAACCAGTTTCACTCACAAAAATATGAAGGGTGAAAGGCAGAGACTGAGACAGGAAAGTGGGACCGTTGCCTTTTGTATTTTTGATAGCTTAATTTTATCCCTGAGAACTGAAAATGGGATTCTTAGCAGACAAAATGTACTGTGTGCTTCATCACAACGAGAACAAATGTTGGTTGGAGCTCGTTGTGCGTATCAGAAAGGGGACACGTGTCATGATGATGTTTTATGAAAGGCACTTGGGTCACTGTGCAGGTACAGGAGATGTGTGCTTAATGTGTGGAGCTGTGATGAGGAGCTGATCGGTAGCACTGAACGTGAGGCAGCAGAACAGAAGATAAAAACCAGGAATCTGGATGATGTCTATGATTTCTAGTAGCCTTCTCATGCCAGCTTTTATTCTGTGCCACTGATTTATTCTGGCTGGGTTGGTCTACAAAAGAGCATGTACTTTGGAGTAAGGGCATTGCAAGAAACATTATGTGAGAGAGATTAATTAAAAAATTAGACCTGTAATCTCCCCACATGTAGGAAGTTTCAGATACACATCTGAACTTTCTGCTTAGGTAGGCACTGGTTCTAATCAAGACTTTAGCTGAGAAACCTGATCTCTGGACCACAACTCTGTAGTTTGTTCCAATCCCTAAAACTAATGGGAAATACTTATGCCAAATCCAGTGCCTTTTTCGAACAGGTCTGCTAAATTATTCTACTAAGTCACATTAGGAAAATGTATTTAGTGTTTGTCCCTGAGCATTAGTGCTGCTTAATACCTCTGCAGTCTTGCTCTCCAGCTAAACCAGATTTGAAGGTATCAAATGTGATGATCTTTTTATAGCCAATTTTAAAGTTTGTGCAAATGGTGAAAGCCCTTCTACTTAAAAGAAGACCCTGGATTATTAGAGGATCCCTAGATTATTTGTTATAGGAAAAAGCAGAGAAAGTAGGTTTTTGTGTATTTGCAACAAACACTGGGAGTGCAAAAAAGTGTCAGGGGAATTATATTCATATCCCTTTCTAGTCCTATGGATAAAAAGAGAGAACAACTGATGTGCCACATGACAGGGGAATAGGATAAGAATATAGGGCAAGAGGAAACTTGCTGTGAAAAAAAGGAGCTTCTTGATACCAAACTATTCACAAGTCTGGATCAAATTTTGACTGTTTTGACTGAAAAGATGGGAAGACTGAATTTAAAAATATTTGTGCCAGTATTTTTAGAGGGAATTTCAGAATAACACTGTTTATTTAAAAAGTAACATAAATCAAAAGAAGGC